ATAGGCTCATCCCTGCTGGGGAGCCAGCAATAGGTTATGGGTAGTTGAGAATTGACATGCCTAATTGCTTCACCTCGGTAATCAGTGACGAAACGTGGGGCGAGGAGCAGGGGTGAAAGTAGCAGGGGTGGCTATCAGGCAAGCTAATGCATTTTTCAGCTATTTCTTCTCATGAAGCCTCCTTTCCAAACTAGTGATCTTCACTGTAACTCCCATCCTCTTTTTCATATGTCTCATTAGACCCACTGGACTCATTTACACCTGTTCAGATGAGTTAGCTTTCAAAGGCGATAAATGAAGGAGGAAATGAAAAAATTGCCTACTCCCCAGGGGTATTTCTGTGCTAACCCATCCATTACTGCTTGACTAATGTCCTGAAGCATGAGATTTTATACCCTTCATGCATTTTATTCTGTTCTGTGTAACTAGCTGATATTATCCCTATGTCTAATTAAGATTCCCACTCCTTAATTCTGAAATAGAAGAGAATTGCTGCTGTATTTCCTCACATAAAACTATTTTATGAGCTGACAAAATGATCTTTGTTCACAACCTGCAAAACTCTGCACTTCATGGGAATGAAAAATGTTAGCGAACTTTTCTGGCATATTCTGACATATGAGTGTGGAAAGGAATATATTGGCATTTAGGCTTTTCTGTATTTGGAAATTCAAATGAGGGGATTGAAATCAGTCAATTGTTTAGTAGTTTCATGGCAGATAAATGAGTCTTCTACCCCCCCCCCTTTTTTTTTTCCTAAGAGGAGTTATTCAGATCAAGAAATAATCAGCAAAATTGGCAATCAGCAAATGAGCCAAGTAACATGGTCATTGAATTAAACTCCTGAAGATGCATTGCTCCAAGACTGAAAGCTTATTTTATGAATCTGTTGCAAAAAACAATTCACCTTCTTTCATGAGTTTTTTTACTTTAACATTATTTTCAACCCCTCCTGTGGTTTGAAAATTAACCCTTCCTGCATTTTGAAAATGCAAAGAGAAATGGTAGGAAAATGTTTTCAGCCCTTTTAAAATCAGCTTTATTTTTGCTCAGATGTACTGAAAGAAGCCTGTTTGTACACACAATGTTTTCTGCAGGTTTTACAGAAACGTATTGAATTTCAAATTTTCGTGTTACAAATTTTGCACTTGTAAGAATTTTTCATGGACAAAGTCTTTTGCTTATCTATGTTTGAGGCTTCTTCATTTAAATATTATACTAAATAGAGGATTTTGCTCTCATGAAGAACGAGATGTAAAGCAGTAGAAACTTTGAGGAAGAAAACCGGTAATTTTATTGCTATAATTTTAGGATTCCAGTGCCAGTCTTTCGTCTCAGCTCTTCTCATACTGCTGTAGTGTACAGATCATTAGTGTCTCCCAAAGCGTTTTCATTTATGAGTGTATTTAGTCTACAGATATGCAGATGCTCAGGGTCCTGCCCTTTCATTTGGTTCCTATTTTTCACTTGTGCAGGCTTATAATCATGCTGCTCCATAGTATATCTTTGATCTATGTAGGCTCTGACTAATGTTAAAACGTAGATATTAAGCATATTTTTTTGTGTGTCAGGGTTCTCTGGAATCTCCCTGAGCAGGTTTTTGATAGCAGCTTCTGTATAATTTAAAGAGCATACAGGATATGGTAATGAGGTATTGAAGGTATTAACAGCATTTGCAAAATTAAGAATTCGAAGTAGTCTCAAAACGAGCCCTAGGAATTTAACTTGCATTTGCAAGCACAAATGTACATATTTTCTGTTAGTGTCTTTGCAAAAATTGCATTCTCTGGTGTTTACAATGGGATAGGTTTTATATAGCTTTATACAGTTTTATACAGGAATTTATCAAAATTGCATGGTAGATTTTTTACATTTTGTCTTGAGATATGTTTTCTTGAGAGGACAGGGAATATTTGCAGACATATTTCCATCACTCTGTCTTGTGCTTGCAGAACATAAAAGGGCCTGAAGTGCTTTCGAAGAGTAAGACTGATGGGTAGCCATCATCTTTAGTCACCAGAAACAAACAATTCTCCTGCGAAAAAAGGAGAAACAATAAGAGATGTATTTAATGAGCTCTAGGTGACAAGCAGTGCAGGGCACTCTGCTTCTTCCTCTCCCATGCTGGCCATCCATTTCAGGTTAAGACCCCACCTTGCATGCAGCACCTCCTCCAGTCCAGGCAAGAAAGGGAGCCGGGAGCACATCTGGGGGCTGAGCCCCTGTCCAGGAGAAGCCAGTGGATGTTAGATACTTATTTTCCCTCCATCTGGCACCAGCAATATCAGCATTTTAGTGCGTGAGCACCCCATGTGCATGCCCCTATGTTGTGTAAGAGGAGTTCTCATACAGCTGTGCTGATGTCTAATGACACCTAATGCAGCAACAGCTTTTTGCACTGGGGCAGCCCTTCTGAAGAGATAGGACACTGCAGAGCATGGCTTTATCCATGCCCTTTGTCTCTGATACCTTACTGGGCCTGATACTGATCATCATTTAAACAAAGCTGGAGGCTTTCCTAGTTTTCAGTGTGTTTTTCCTTGATCTTTTTCAAATGACCATCTATCTTCAATATCACACAGTTTTCTACAGCATCCATCACTGTTCAATCTACACACTTCCCTGCTAAATCAATTCTGTGCTGTGAAGTCCCCGCAGGACTCTGCGGCTGTTTCTGCTCAAGTCCACAGCCTGCTTGGGGAATACTTTGTTTTAAATCATCATCATTCTCAAAACCTTTTAAATTGTGCCAAAGTATGACTGTCTTTCTTGTATGGACAAAAAAGGGCTTAGGACTGTGTGTTTGGAGGGATACAAGATAATTTAAGATATGTGGTTTTGGTCAAAATGCCAAGATCTTTTTTTGAAATCAATTTATAGGGAAATAATTCTCTTTAAGCAATGTATATTGAATCTTCATTGCCTTGTGTGGAATTCTTCACTGTTTCAACAGGGGCTTTGCTGAAGAAAATAAAAGAAATCAAAGAAGAAAACAGAGATGTGCCGTGGCTTAAGGATCTGTTTTATCATTGTTGTAAGGTTCTAGAAAAACAGAACCTTATATAATACAATACTTGCTGATTTGTATCTGATGCTGTTAGTCACAAACCCTGGCAAGTTGTAAGAGAGTAAATAGATTAGCACAAGTGATAAAAATGCACTACTTCACCACACTGCAAATGCTCTAGTAGTTACTCAGTGATACTCAGTGCTAAGGGTGTTAATAGAAAAGAATAAAATATCCGGTGGCTGCTTTTGACCTTGCTAGGGCCGTAAGGACTAAGGCGTGCCACTTAACCATTCCACTGGCATGAAACATCTGCCCAGGACTTGGTTTCTGTGCTCCTCTCATCTACACAGCCTTATTGCTGTGACTTTAGTTTTCCTTCACTTCCACTCTGATTTCTGTTTCACCATCACCTCTGCTCATATTGGCTCTGATTTTTGCACTTGTGGAGGAGAAAACTGCTATCTCTGCACAGAGCCCCTCTGGTAATCAATAGACAGCCTGCACAGGGAGTTGCATGCTGCCAGTCACCAGGCTTTAGCTTGAACTTGAAAGATTTTGGAGTCAGACCTGCCATCCTGCTTGTCTTCCAGAAAGGTGTAAAAGAAATGCAGCTCTGAACCTGGACAGGGCTTTGGGTGTGTGGCCCTGCAGACACTTAGGAGAACCCCAAGAATGAAAGTGAAGCAATACTTGCAGCTCATGAGAAATAATGCAGAACCAGCTTTGTTGAGTGCTTTGAGGTCGCTGGCTAAGGGAAGAAGAAAGCATTGCTCATATCAATATCTAATTGGTGTAAAGTAGGTTTAAATGGACTTTGCTTTGGTGGGGTAGATTAAGCTCTTCATGACTAATGATATTCAAATCCATTTTTCATTCAGATAATGAGCAAAAATTGATGAGCAAAAGCTTCCTCTTCCTTAACTTCTAACACAGCATTTTGTCCTCTCTGCACAAGCTATCTATCTCTGGTCATCTCTCCTCCCATACCTGATGATGAAACAGTTGGTGTCTGTGTCAGGAAAACTCCCAGCCATGGAACAATACTGGAAGAGACAGGGTGCAGCCCCGTGAATTTATTCAGGGCTGTCCAAGAGCTCCCAGCTCCGGGAACCTCTGTCAATAACAGATAGTGCAACAGACGCCTGGGGGCTGAGCGGGATACTGGCAGACGATGCACAGAGGCTATGGTCCAGCACATGAAACAAGATTGTTCTCCCCATTAATTTCCTTTCCTATCTTGTCTTCCCACCTGCTGTCTCGTTTCCCTGCTGGTTCTGGCCACCCGCCCATTCAGCTGTTTCTGTATGGGAAGGGGCTTCCCTTGCTACTGCCCTGCCTGTTGTGCAGCCTAAAGGGACCCTGCTTTTTGCCTCTGGCTGTTAATTTCTCCTGCAGTAGGAATGAGGAGTGTTAGTTCAGGAGAGAGAGCAAGAGCAAAGTGTGCTATGGGCTGTGAGCATATTGAGTGGGCTGCCATAACTGTCCACAATGATTTGTTCTTTCTCCAAGACAAATGTTTCTGTGATAAGAAATGAGAGTCACCTGGCTTCTCTTCCACTGATGGTGCTAGTAACTGCTTTATGATGTCAGATAAAATCATAAAATGATGGAAAGGTTTGTGTTGGAAGGGACCTTAAAGATCTACTTCCAATGCCTTGGCCATGGGACGGGATACCTTCTGCTAGATGAGGTTGCTCAAAGCCCCATCGAAACTGATCTTGAACTCTTTTGAGGATGGAGCAGCCAGAATTTCTCTGGGCAACCTGTTCCAGAGCCTCACCACCCTGAGAATAAAGAATTTCTTCCTGATGTGTAATATAAACCTACCTTCTTTCATCTTGAAGCCATGGCCCCTTGTTTAAAGCACTACTGTTTGATATCATGTCCTGAAACATGGACACAGATCAACCTACACTCTTCCTAACAAGTTCACAGCCAAGCTTACACAAAGGAATCTTTCCATATATCCTTGCTCAAACAAAATACTGCTATGCAGCTGTCTGGATTTCAGTTAATCTTTGGGACATTCCCAGTAAAGCATTTTTCTCCTGCTGACAGTCAATGTTGCATTCTCACTAGTGACCGAGCAATATGTTTGAATTGTACAGAAACAAACAACACATAGGGGTAAAAAAAGCATTAAGGAATAAGATTCTGCTATTAAGGCTTGCTCTAATTATGTGCTTCAAATTCATATAGGGTTGCCATATTTCAGTGCTCTTGGTGAATGAGCCTGTATTTAGAATGGAAACACCATGGAATCATTATCTAGTTAGTCTGGGTTTTTTAAAAAAATAAAGGAGAAGAATTTCTATGACTTTTTATGGTCTACAGTTACCCAGAGGATATGAAACATCTGCTTTTCTGTGGTAAGTAAAGAATAACTCCAGCTGAGCATCCAATCACAAAATTAATCTGCATTTTATGGTCTATCTAAGAGAAACCATCAACTTATGCTATTTTAGATGATATAAGGGTATGTACTAAAGAAATTTTTGAAAACAGTATTAAGCAATTAAACAAAACCTAACTGGGTACTGTATAATATGTCTGATTTTTTTTTCTAAAGGAGTTAGTTTTGTTATTGTTTTCCTGGTAGAACTTCTCCTTTTGATTAAAATTAAAACTAATTTTGGTGATACCTAGAGGAAAAAAAAAGCAAAATATATCTTTGTACAAACTGAAAGGATGGAAAAGAACAAAATACTTAATCATTCAATTCAGGATCTTGTTTATTTAAAAAGATATATGAGGCAAAGCCAGTGAGCAGTGTTCCAATAGCAAAGAACGTGGAAACGAAACTGACTTCAGACAGAACCAAATTGACAAAAATTGCACTTAATGGGAGAAAAAAGTAAGAAAAAAAAGAAAAAAAAGCTAAATGAAAAAGGAAGCAGGCAAACAAAAAAAAGTAGAAGCAAACTAGGTATAGATTTTATCTGGATAATGTTCCTTTAAACAGGTTATTTTAATTGTATACTTACTATTTTCTTCCAATTATTCCCACTGCATTTTACTTGTAAGTCCAGTTTTGTTCCAAAGCAAAGTTCTTTTATTTCTTGTTTGTAAGTGTATATTGATTATTTTACTCTGCTTGCAGTGGAGCTTGAAATGAATATTTTTCATAGTTTCCTTGCTTGTGCATCAGCATTATCAATAATCCTGGCAGAATATTAGTAGGAGGAGGTGAAACAGGGCCCAAGCACCTTGATTTGCTTGATATAACTGTAATGACATAAATAAGCTGGCTACTGATTTATACTAATGAGATCAGAGCTGAGCCTGTGAAAGCAATGTGTAAACACTACATTTGGCTTGTTTGACTTTCATTTGCAGGACCTACTCTTGCTGATGTCCACAGCAAGGGGCTCAGTAATACAGACACACGTTAGCCTAGATGTGCTTTTTGTAATACCATTCCTAGCTTTAGTGAGATACATTGCCTTTATATTGGGCTGTAATGGAAGTCCTGTGTTTCCATGATCCTCAGTTGATTAGATATTCCTGCAGGTGGATGCTTTAGACTGATGGGATGAAGTCATGGTGACTTCCATTTAGCAGTCTGAAGTTAGACTAGTTGACTACATAGACACTGCAGATGAGAGGAGAAATATCACTCCAGGCCAAGATAGGCATCTGTGTAAGAGATTTCCTTGTTCATCTTGCCCCACCTGTCTCTCTCCTTGGAACAGAGCAACCCAAAATCTTTGAGATCAGCTCAAAAGTTACAAAGTCCCTCCTCCCTTTCCTCCTTAGATGTACTTTCTGCTTCATTTCAAGGCATGTATACCATACTGCATGGTGGAAGAGGTTATTTCTGATACCTGTCCTGAACCTCTCACATGTGCTCTCCTGTCCATCTCACCCTCCAGACTGCCTGAGGAACATTTTCCTCTGCTGCCTTTTGCTTTCCCAGCCAGGGTTCCCCCCGAGCTGTGCTGGCTCTGTGTGTGCAGTGGGGAGAGATAGCTGTGTGATGCAGAATGGTGAGAGCTGTCAGTCTGATCCCTGCTGGAACATGTTGGGTCACAACTTCTCAATTTCGGGAAATCCTGAAGTTTCAATATTGAATATTGCAGGGTTAAAACTCCTTATGAAAAGTAATAACATTTTTATTTGAGCTGAAGAAATGTCACAATAGATTTGAGATTTTGCATTCAGGCCAGTGACAAGAGGAACAGGGAAGATGGTTATGTGCATATAAGGCAAACAATTTTTTTTTCTCTGTGTAGCACTGCTGGGATTATAATTGGAATACAGCAGTCTATTACAAATGCCGTGTTGCAAAGACAGCACAGAAAAGGTAGGGAGAGTTCAGAAGAAAAGCAACAAATATAAAGTTTTGTTAAAGAAAACTTCTCCAGGTTTTCCGGAGAAGTTCAAGAGCAAGAGGCCTCTGCACACAAGGAAAAAGGTCTGAAGGGAGACAGAGTAGCTAGCCATAAATATAAAAATAATGATCATACAAGGCTTGGTGTTTTGTCCTCACATGGCATCTTGAATTGTTGTTTCTCCTTATGGCTGGGGCCAGCCTTGTGCAGGGTGTCAGCCAGCAGAGACCTAATTTGTCCTTTGTGTGTGATCTGCACCAATATAGAAGACAGCCTAGCAACAGCCAAAGTGCTCAGAATTTTTTCCTGTGGACCTCTGTGTGTTTATAAACACATAACCAAAGAAGAAAGTAATAGAGAGCATTACATGTCATTACTTGCAATTGATTTTGTTAATGGTGATTCAAAACGTCCCCGGTTTTCATTGTACAGCTCACACTGGTGGAAAAAAAACAAAGCAAAACACCACAAAAAGACCTCATTTCTTTCAACACTGCCCAAATGAACTATACTACAATTAAAAGTAAAAGCCAATTTTGTCCCTATAAATACTTATCTTCATTTCACTCTTCATGTGGTTTGCACTGGATATAACCTGGAGACAGCAGGCATTTCTGGCCTTAGTGCATTACCCCCACCCCTTGCACTGAACAGTAGCATAACCACCATGGTACCAGCTATAGGCACCACTTTTCCTGCAGATATCACACCTGATGGTCCCATAGAGAAGTATGGCTGCTGGCCTGTGGATACACACTGCTGTTGTTTTCCTTGCTCAGAAATTAGCTGCACAAAATCCACACTGTCTCCCTGAATATCATAATTGCTTACTTTATAAGTTAGGAAATTAAAACACTCCTCAAAGATGACCTCTTGGAGGTTGGAGCACTTCAGGCAAGGAAAAGGCAAAAGAGTCTTATTTTTCTCACTGTGGGTTATCTCAGCCTGAAAGAGAAGAAAGCTTCTTTATTTTTCTTCCTAATTATATTTCATAGATGTCCCAGAACAAGCCATTTCTGCAAAGCCCCTTGAAAGTGCATGGGGAGATGTGAAATATGGTGTGCTTTCCCAGAAAAGCTATTGGAGTGCCCTTTCTTGGCAATACAAAGTGCACACTTGAGCACTCAAGGGGCAAGTGCTTCCCTTCAAATGCTTCCCAGTTGAAAAGGAGGTACTGAAAGAGAAATTGCTTTCCGTGAGCTTTGACATGCTGTGTAAGGCAAAGAATGATCCCACAGAGACTTCCTGGACTCAGGGTATACCTGCATTGCCCTCAGAGCAGCTCACCTGGAACAGACACCATATCCTGGAAGAGGATAGCAGCCCAAGCCTTGCAAACAGAGCTCGGGGCTGCTGCAGCTTGGCCGTCACTGTCTGGGAGGTTTAAAGGGAGTGTCTCTGATTCCCTGCACACATCTCTCCTTTGCTTGTGGGAGACAAGTTCAGCTCCCTGTAGCATTAAAGCAGAGTCTGTGACCTTGGGAAGGAGACCTGTCCCTGGGCAGTCACTGATGGAAAGTGAGGGATCCCAGCCAACACCATGGCACCTATGTGATGCTCAGAGGCTGATGCCTCTACCAGCCAATCCATTCCAGCATATAAAGTCACTGGATTGAGATGCCCAGCGTGTGACCAGCTAAGGTGAGAGGAAATGAATCTGAAATGAATCCTTAGCATCTCTGTAGAGCAAGGGAAACTGCACTCAGAGGCTTCCTTCCTCCATTTTACCTGCTTTGAGTCAGAAGTATTTGGGCCAAAATAACTCTTTTATTCTTTTCTTTCTTGTGCTCTGATGGAAATCTGATCTTAATAGTCTTTTGGGACTTTCAATTGGGGACCAAATCTATTTTCTGTTTGTACAGAAAGGTCATGGCCCTTTATTCTGTCTTCAGGGCATAGACAGACCCAGAAGAAGAAATATTCTACAGTATATTTCTATACTGTAGAAATAGAACTTCCATTAAATCTTTTACTGCTTCAGTTTAAAATATGCATCTTCAGCTTTTATGTCATGTTGTAAGAAAACAATATGTATTTATTTTAAATAGATTCTTAGAAAGATAAAGTTGATCCTATTTCTCAGCTGCACACTTTTGGGGCTACCAGAAGAAGATTATTTCTTCCATCATCTGAAGCTAAATTTGACGTAGCTCTAAACTTGGGAAAGCAAGTCATACTGTCAAGCTTAGATATCCAAAACTGCCCAATACACACTTGAAAGTAGATACCTTTATAAATAGGAACCAATTTTCTTGTTTCCTGAGCCCTTCTTTTATTTTTAGTGGTAGATACAAAGATCCCAAGAAATTTGACTTTATTTTGTTTAAATCATTAGTTTTAGAGTTATGTATGTCAGTTCAGGTACTGAACTAAGTAGGAAACACATCTTTTCACTTCACTCCAGCTTTCCTTTTGTGAAGCAAAGTCTAATCCTGTTCCTCAAAAATCAAAGGCAGGACTTGTCCTGATTTCCAAGTGGCTGGTGACCATAAGGCCTTCTCCAGATGATCTACAGAAGGGTTCATTTGCTCGGATGTCACGCTTAATTTGCCACCACTAGTAAGTATCTGCACTGTCAAGAATTGCACAATTGGGCATTTGGCCCCCAAATTGCTACTTCATTTTCATTTTTAACACTCGTTTTATGGGAATGGAAAAGAAATTAAACA